ACGACAGGCATTCATTTACATATGTTCATTGCTCGTTAAAGACACGTCCCATACATCAGTATTACGTTGCATATACGCTATCCATACACTGTATGTATAGCACACCACCGCATTACAATCGTAAGCGCTAAATGTATGTTAAGCGTCAGTTTAGCTTATTTGTAGTATGGCTAGCGTATCCCAAACGTAAGTGCAACGTGTGGGTGACATACGCCTAAAACGCGCCTATGCACTAAAAATTTTTAACATGCTAAAAATCTTTTCCTCCTTCTGTGTATGTCAGCGTACACCAATGTCATGGCACTTATTATATATGCAAAACATATACGGTGTAAAAGCAACGAACCCACTGCGCTTACCTGCGTATTTTATACGTTAGCGCAATACGCTATATACAACATTGGTCAAAAAGGTTGTCCCACCTTCAGTATCATGTGCTTTTATTTATAAATGATCACAACACAGGTGAAGATTGTTATAAATAGTGATTTTCATTCCAGATACCATAGCTATCATGATTAGTGATACAGAAAATACAAACTAGCGGTGAAGATATCAATATTAAATACCATTTATTCACATTTATAACATGTACCCCCTCAAATCCGGCGTTTCACTGTGTAAAGAAATGTCCATTAAATTGAAATGACACCACCAAATGTCACCAAATTTACACACATTTAGCATTAGGGTGTGCTCGTTAAAGGTCACTTGCCTAATAGCGTTTGTGTTTACCGAGTACACTAATCATGTTACTTATGGTATCTGGAATGAAAATCACCATTCACAGCAATTAATTCCTGTGATGTGATCGTTTATAAATAAAAGTACATGAAACTGGGAGTGGGTCAACCTTTTTGACCAATGTTGTATTGTGACAATGCCCAATTTTTGGTAATGTAACGTTTAGGTTTTGATATTGAGCTTTATACGAATCCTTTTATATTGAACATGCCCAATTTTTGCACCTTCATATATTAACGACCTGGGGCCCGTAACTCGAAAGCATCGCGTATTGCGACCGAGCGCAAGCGTCTCGATTCCATAACACGCCCATACTCGTCCCATATAATATTGGCAATACGCGATGCTTTCGAGTTACGGGGCCCTGGTTGTCTATATCTCGTGTCTATGTTTTCTCATAAGAAATGTATCAGTATGATTTAACATCACATGCGAAGTACTTATAAGTCTAACTAATTGATATTCAAGATCAGATAAATTATGGTTTTCTTCAATTCCGGCAGTATTCCGTGGCAAATGATCAGAGGGGTTCCTTGGGTAGTAAAATTTTAAATTGAATTTGTTAAAAGAAACGATATGTTGTATGTCAAAATAAATTTTAAAAAAAAACGATGCGATACATGAAGAGATATTAACTGCGGTGGTAATTTGGATTAACTGATTCGACGAATGTCTAATTAATCGTTGATCATGACAAGATGCCATTTAGTGCTTTTGGTTGATTGCACACGATAAATACGGATTCATATTTGTACATACAGACGTGACATTTAATTTAGAATATTTTTTCCAAGTTATTTTCACCGATTTTTTCCATATTTTTCTGACTGATAATTGAAAATAAGGATTCAAATCGTGTTTTAAAAATTTTAATAATCTTTTCTATGCCACTAGGACATCATTTCTTTAACTGAGTTGCCCTAATTGAGCAAACAAATTCATGGCTAACTTTATATCATACAAAAATCATTAAAAGCATGATTTTGACCTCCATATATTCTAAATTTTCATTTATGAAAAATTTATATACCCCTCAAAGGAACATTTATTAGTGTTTTCTTAAAGCAACGGTCAGTGGTGCGTGTGGCCTCTTCTAGTTGATTCAAGGGCTCTCAAGCGGCAAGGCATTCCTTCCGACAAGTTTCTTAGAGTTGGATCTGGAATGAAACTCCAGGGATCGGTCAGATTTGTTGTAGGACCCAAAAGTCATTGATTCGGCAAGTAATGATTATCCACATATTGTCTGTAGGGGTCCTACTGTGGCGATCTTGATGACCGCGGTAGCTAATCATTCCCTTGGTTCTGCAAGTAATCTGCGAATACAAGTGCTCTCTTTTTGACGGGTATTTTCTTCTGGTAAAATAAAATTGTCCCCGAGTTGCCCTCCATCAAATGGCAGGCATGTGGCTTCCAGAATTTTCCTGCATATGACATGGTTCAGGTTTCCAGATAATGATACTGTCACCGCCGCCGGTCACTCAAGGTGCGATACGCGCTTCGTTGTATGCGTCTTATGGATGTCTTTGAACTCACGTTTGACCATCTTGGCGGCACAGCTGAAATCTGACCTCAATAGCAAAAGCCACATGATTCCAGTGTTGTGCCAGCAAACGTTGATGGTTTCCAGACCATAAGAGAAATAAATGACGACTGTTCACGGTGACCTCACTAGAACCATATACCTCAATATAACCAGACTGGCGTTCGCAAAGAGCCTTGAAAGACCCTTTACGGTGGCAATCTGGCCCTCATTCTGAAGGGAACGGGTTCCATTTGTTTACTTGTAGCTGCAAAACCGTAAAAACAATTGTTTCTGTTTCCTGGTGGCAAGTTTTGGATATCTTAACATCAGTCCTGCCATACCTCTTAAAGACTATACCTATTGTTTCCTGTGACATTATGGTCTGGTTGACAATGTATGTCTGTTTCACACCATTCTGGCACAAAGCATCAATCCTGTGACACACTACTTCGCTCAATTCATTGGCTTCTTGTACGCAAAATTTCAAAATCATCTGTGTAGGTGATACCGAAATCTGGAGATTCATTTTAACCGAACCATGCTCTCTCATAGTCCTAATAGGACCAGCCCAACGGGTACTACACAATGAAGTAAGTGTAAAATACAAGGGTGCTGTAGACGAGATAGTCAATTTATTGTTACTGACACAATTGACTACATAATTTTGAATTCACATATCTCATATGAGAAATACAAAATTTAAAAGAACAAGTTTTATCCCTAGACAATCCTTTGAAACTGAAACTGTTGCTGCTGTTGCACTTTACTTGATACCGGAAACATAGGCTTACATCAGCATTAGGGCCTATAACAGACAGGCCAGTATTAATGCTTTCGTGTGTTATCGTCGAAGAATGACATACCTTTTAGTCCGAAAAGGTAACAACTGTTTCGAAGACATATTAAAGGGAAACCTGAGACGAGTCACGCGCTTTAAAGTAGCAAGCAAAGCAAAAGCAAGCAAAAGTATTCTATTGTTATGACCATCGATTGAAAGGTAAAATGAGAAATTTAAGAAAGCTTACAGGATAGAGAATGAAATATTTAATTTGTTTCAAAGACCAAATGTTAGTCTTAGCAGTTTGTGTGTTGCTGGTAAAGTAATTGACATACGTACTTTGGTTCTCCCTGTTTACTTGGCGTGGTTGAGTGTCCATTGGGTCATTATAGGAGAGTAGTGGCGGAAGGCATGTGATGGCAGATGAAACCCACCTAATTGACTAACATGGATTCACGTACTTGAATTATGCAGTATTTCCTATCATGCTTTTTTTTAGCTCATCATGTTTCATTATTTTTTATTGTGACTTTTATTGCATCTGTTCGTTTCATTACTATTGCTATTTTTTATTACTGTTGTTTATATAAAAATGATATTATTATTATTATTATTATTATTATTATTATTATTAATTTACTTACTTTTTACGGAAAATTGAATACGTTTACCGAAGGTGTGAATAGTGACACATCTCCCCAAATGAAAGAAATGAATCATTAAAAAATATATTAAACTACCTCATTCAAATTACTTTATATATGTGCGTTGGACCAAATAGTAGGGGGCGTCAATGCTTATGATTCACCGTTTCTCAACATCCAGCATCCAACGGTATTTTTTTTAATGGATTTTATCTACATCAATTTTCATGTAGAAACCACATTTTACGAATGTTTTCTTTTAGTTACTTATTTGTGGTTTTTCTGAAACGATGCAGACCTTTAGGCATATAAATAATCAATAAATATAGACCTGTAAGTATAATATTGTTAATCAGCCGGGGATATGCAGTGGAGAAGGGGCAAAGAATATTAATTATATTTTTTTCGAAGATCTGACGCAATGAAACAGAATGGAACGGATTGAGAGCTTTAAATATATGTGGATATAACATACTCTTATATCAATATTAAATTATGTGTGAGATAAAACACTGACAACCTGGACAATATATGCCAGAAGTCCTCAAGCGTCGAGCGTATTTCACCGAAAAAGATCCCTAAAACCGAATAAAGCAAACATCCCCACAATCACATAACTTCTTTAGGGGTGAATGACTGGATAAGAAGTATTTCTACCCACAATCTTTAAAATTTGAAAACTTTAACGTTTTCGATCCAAAATACTTTTTTTTTGACAAGTGTGCAGACAAATGTAATTATTTATAAACCTTATGATGGTCTTTGCTTCGGTCACCGAAAATGCTAACAAGTACAACATTGATTATTCTATAAACACGAAAGCTCAGAAAACATCCTATTGCATAAGAATGTGGGTGTGTTTGAAAAACTAAGACAACAGATATTTGGAACCACCGAAAATAAAGAAGGCCATTTAAAACATCGATCAAGTTCACATCGTAGGTTTAATGAAGTGTGTAAATATCGTAAACTGTTTATGAACCTTCGTGTGGGCTTCTGGTTGGTCTTCGGAACTGAAAACAAGAACGACATTAATCTCTCAATTAACGCCTACGCGTACATGTATGTGTTTGAAAACGCTTGCCATTGTGAAAGAATTAAGGCGGCATAATTGCCAATACGACTGACTTCGCATATTTGATTTAGATGAATGGATGAGTGAATATGTGGACAGTGTCAAAGCCATTCTATTATTTGGTGTTAAACATCTTTCTGAACTCAAAATGAGGGGCTGGGCTTCGACGTGTACATGCATTTTGAATATTCATGGTACTACTTGCCGCCTGCCTCTGATTCTTAAAACGGCCCATATGCTCGTTACGCACTTAACGGTCTGCACATAGTATATAAGCAGGTCTCACACAGAATCTGTACTCCAGGTAAACAGTAATTGGTATCATTGAAACTATAGTAACGGACTTCAGTTAATTGGCCAAAACAAGACGAATATATCACCGGAACAACAATGAGATGCATGTGGGTAGGTATATCGAGCAATTTTTAAAGAGCATTGGTTGACATTTTCTTACATTTTAGATTGTCACGTAAGTTTCGTATGTTTTGCTTGGTCTAATCGAATTTGTACGAACCATTTCCGGCGTTTTTTTTTTCGGAAGCTGACCAATAGCCCATGGTCAAATTGATTCACCGCTTGACTATACAGGGCTTATACATTGAACTACGACACAAGTTAATATATTGCCAATAAATCTATGGTTTTACGCATATTTTTAAATGTCAATAATCTTAAAGAAATGGCAGTAGAATGTTATTAAGTTTAAGGAGCCGCGTAGTTTTCAGACGTCAATTTAACCCTATGAATATATGTTTGCAATATGTTTCTAAAAAAACAACAAAACACCACTATCAGCATTATTTTTAGATAGAAAAAATACTGTACTTTTGAAAACGAGTGTTTTTTATTAACATTGTCATAGATGTAATTGTAAAAGACTCAATTTTTGCATTATTCCATTTATCATCTTTTTCATATTGACGCTCTGCGAAGTAAACAACAAATACGTTGCTTAATTAATTTCTTATCTCCATTTTCTTATGTTAGACTATTCCAGGAACGGCTTATCGTATTTCTTTCATTCTAAACAGAGCTGTAGGAAAGAGTGCCGCACTTTCAAGATCAATAAAATACCACAGCTCACCGGTGTAAAACATGTTTTGAATATACACAATGTGTATGTCCAGTTGTCTCATTCGCAGAACTAATGTTTAAAGACACATATAGATGTGACATTATTAAGACTCTTTTGTCACAGGGAATAGTGAAAGATCAGCCAATACATCATCATTTCAGAAAACGTCTTACCATTTTAATGTAACTTAGGCTCTTTGAGTTCCACTCAATATATATACATATATATTAGTATCATAACAATGCGAAGGTAATACTCCTTACAAAAACAAGTCAGACGGGCTTCAGAAATTGTTAATCCAAAAGCTACAGAAAACCCCAAAATGTCGGTAATGTAAAGATGTTAACAAGAATTAAATAAACATGGAATTCTTAACAAGCCATGGTCAGCAAATGGTTCGTTTCCCTCTATCCAAGTGTTGTTAATGACCCGTGATTCGTACTTGTTAGCCATGCGTGTAAGCAATGATCTGGCAATAGTGTGGGAATGTGTTTATCAAGCTCTTTTATCAGATAAGAGATTTAATCATTTGGTAGTTAGCGAGAAAACAAGTTGCAACAGCCAGATTGAAGCGTAGGATTGATTAAAAACTGTGTCATTATTCTGTGTCCTATAGTTTGAACAAATATTTTTCGAGTTATTTAGGGGAATTTATCAAAAACGGTTTTACTTCTCCGTAAAAAAACAAAGCCAAAGGGGAATTATCATCCCAAATAAAGAAATTAGGTGTTATCACATTCTTCTTAATGCATATTGGTCTATACCGGTGCTTCCAATTACCAACAAATCAAAGAAGATGGAACAATAAAGAACTTGATAGCGTGGGTTTATTTCCTTTTAATATACCAATTCGTCAGTCATTTACAAAAGTGCGTAGTCTTGGGAAAATTACCAACATAGGTGTATTATAGTTGTTGATTGCGGGATTACAAACTGATTAACCATCAGATAGGGTTCTGTATACGGCAGGTATTCTGCTGCTTAGATACAGCACAAACGGTTATGTAGCTACACAACACCAACAGGACTACTTTTCGGGTATTTTACATACTGTAACATGTAAGTTTTTTTATTTTTCATCCTTAGGAACCAGGTTTCCTTGTGGCAGCTATGGCAGTTGTTTTGTTTGTACCAGCCATAGCTGTTCCGCTGAATTCTACACCGTCCAGTTTCATGTCGACATCATCCAACAAAAGATCATCAAACGGTAATACCCAAAAACATCTACCAGTGCCAAGGCTTGAACCCAAGAGACCCTTAATTCTAGATCTTGAGCCAGATCCAAGAAAGGCAAGTCATCTTGTTTTATTGTCATCTACCGTGCCTTCTCACACACCATTAGAAACAATTCCCGAGGAAATATTATGGGGACTAAATGCCACAAACCGAAATCGGGTCAAAAAAGAATTTGACTTTATAAAACGACCAGTGTGTGACGTAATATCGCGATGGAATCCTAAAACTGAAGCTATAGATATGGCTGGCAACGTAGTGACTGTAGTTCAGAAGATATCCGTTGGAAATAGTGTTGTGAACCAATTTTTCTACGAAAGGAGTTGTGCCCATGAAGAGCGTTATTGTAAAGGCATAGACTCTAAGAAATTTGAATCACAGTGTGAAACAAGAAACATGTATGGATATGCAAAAGTTCGCGACCGATATGGCACTGAAGGCTGGGGAAGAATAGCCATACCAGGAGGTTGTGAGTGCGTATTTTACCAAAAGGACCCATTTGGTTTAATAGACAATAATTGACATAAAAAGAAAAGTATTTGAAAGAAGTGCGTGACCCAAAAGTATTTGAAAGAAGTGCGTGACGCAGATCTTAATATATATATATATATATATATATATATATATATATATATATATATTTGCTATTAGATACGCTTGTTCAAGCGTCAGTTTTTATTTTTGGCCTTTGTTCATTAACATTAACTTTGAATACCGCAAACATCCATTTACAGCAACTATAGGCATACACCCCTTTGGTTATGTCGATGGCAAATTAGAATAATGCCGAAGAGACTAGTTTTCGTGAATTCTTGTATGAAATGGGCTTTTGAAAGCTCACTTCAGAATAGCGAAATGATTGATAGGCATTTAGGTGCCGTTTAGTACATCTGCTTCGTGACAAGATGGACATACGTACCATATTGCTTTCAAAGCACCGCCCCGTGTGTCACGTCGTAATGGAACGAATTACCAAAAAATAGTGTCGTAAGACTTGCCATTTTAGAGGGTTCACAGTAGTTATTCCACAGTGGCGGTAATTTTCACACAGATATCTTTTCTGCTGTAGATGCGAGTAGATGAAAAAAGATCCAATAGATGGAGCAAGTTAAATATGGATCTCTTGTGGAAATGATGAATTTTCGGATAGTAAAATAGATCACTGAGTGTATTACTTATATCATGCGTATATTAAAATAAACTGTGTATTACATCCATAAAGAATGATGATGACTTTAGTTGGATAAATTTAATTCTATAGCTCCGTTTTTGAAGGTTGATAATGGTGTCTAAATTTCCGAAACCCTAATTGAATTGACAGTATGTAACTTTCGCCACTTAATTTAAATTGGATAGAATAAATGTGTGATCTTTGTACCGATGGCTCTCTTTCTCTTTCAAACTGTAGGTTGTTTACAATTTAAAATATATATTCAAAACGAAAAGTGAACTGCGCCTTTATTTGGACAATCTTATCCAATAAGGTTATTGCTAGGGAACTGTAGCAGTCAAGCATCTCTTATTTGTACGAAAATTCCAAGCTTGCATGACCCCCCCCCCCTCCAACAGTCCCTGAATGCATAGACATGGATGCGATACTAAAGCCAGCAAACGCTTTGTTACGCTATTTTTGCTTTTAATTCTTTTATACTAATTAAAACAGTCTCCCACTTTTGGTGAAACAGGAATATACATGTTGTAAGTTTTCTTTTCATTAGGAGTGCTGGTGCTCGAAATCTCGACAAATAGGTATGTTTGCATATAAAGTATTACCAAATGGACCAGAATGGACGATGTTACTTGATACGCCATGCTTGTGATATTCTTATAAATATTTATTTCACTATTCTTTGCTTTAATTTATTATTTGTTGACTGCATTTAACTTATTTAGATAAGAATGTGCAAAAGTTCACGACCGATATGGCACTACTAATCAAAAATTGACACATTGAATCAATCAATTATGATGAAACATATTCCATGTCCCAAAACAATACCAAAAGTTTTGTACGTTTAAGAATGTATTATAAGATAAGTGTTTCACAAACTATAGAAAAATGCTCTCTCCTTTGACAATTGGTATTAATTTAATATTTTTAAAAGGCGCGGTGGTCGTTCAGGTGGTACAAGGGAGTTGGATAGGGGGTAGTGTGGTAGTGTTGACCTTGCAGGACAGTGGTATGCAAATAAAGTTGATCGTTCACCCTTTCTATTTAATTTCTGGAGGTTTTTTATTGGCTGACAAGGAAATAACTGAAGAAAGATTACAAAAGAGCCAGAATTCGCCCAAGCTCTTAGGATTGGCCAGCAGTAGCCATGGGTCCTCCAAACAACGCTCACTGTAGGCAGAAACATGGTTGAATGAACGCCTTTGATTGATAAGTTGCCAGTGATGTGCAGGGAATGCAAAGATGAGTCTCAATGTAGGTCGGACATTGCTCGGAGGTATCGTCCATTATTGTCTTCGGTTGTACAAAAGACGTACAGGGAAGGAATGCCAGTGGCTCAAGGATGCACAGGTAGTTCGTGCTGGTTCTACATGAAGAGCTTAGATGAAGTCTTTCAAATGAGGCAAAATGAACTCTGGACCATTTACGTACACACGCTTTTTGCGGGCTCTGGCGAATTTTGACCGTCCTGGTCGTATTTCTGGTCGCACAAGAGCGACACAAAGGTCGCAACTCTCTGTAAAGGGGTTTTAGGTCCAATGGGGCCCCAGAACAAATTTAGGTTGGTGGCCACTATACAACATTGGTCAAAAAGGTTGTCCCACCTTCAGTATCATGTGCTTTTATATATAAATGATCAGATCACAGGTGAAATTTTTTATAAATAGTGATGTTCATTTCAGATATCATAACTAACATGATTAGAGATACAGAAAATACAAACTAGCGGTGAAGATATCAATATTTTTATTTATTCACATTTATTACATGTACCCCCTCAAATCCGACGTTTCACTGTGATTTTCACAGACGTAAAGAAATGCCCATTAAATTGAAATGACACCACTAAATGTCACCAAATTTACATACATTTAGCATTAGGGCCTGCTCGTTAAAGGCTATGTGTCTAATAGCGTTTGTGTTTACCGCGTATTGTAACTATCTCCTGTAGGCGGCGCGACCTGCCTTCAACAAGGGTAACAAAAATTCTGTTTTTTTTTTTTTATTGTCCCATTCTTCCTAAAGAGCTTGGGGGCGTTGGTCCAGATTATTAGGAGTTTGGTTCTCCTTTGCATTGCACACTTCACTTCATGCCACAGATGCTTAGTAAGGTTGATAACAGGGCTCAAAGATGGTTGCTCCATCCTCGGAACATTGGGTTTCTGCAACAAATCTTCCAGCAGAAGAGAGCTGTGAGCAAGTGCATTTCCACGATGACGTCTGCAGTATCCCTGAAGTTACCTCTTGCAAATGGTTGTTGAGAATGTTTCAGTGAAATGCCCCAGTAACGTTCTTTTTCAGAAAGAACAATGTTCTAAAACCATGGGCTTGGAATGCTCACCAAACATGGACTGGCCTGACACCGCAGGCGATATTATTCTGCACACATCTTCCAAAAAGCATTTTGCAACATGTCTACGGGCCCTAATTTGACCATCGAAGGCATACAAGAAATACCTTGTTTCTTCAGCAAAAGCAACTTGTTCCTAGTGATGATTGACCAAGGTCTGGTAGTTCTGGGATCAGTGAACATTCTCAACTAATACCTCATTCCATCTGCAAGAGGGAACTTCGGGGATGATCCAGGCCTCATCATGACAGCACACTTGCACACAGTTCTCATGTAGTGAGTAATTTGTTGCAGAAACCCAATGCTTTGAGGCTGGAGAAACAATCTTTGCATCCTGATAATAAACTTACTGAGCACCCGAGACATGAATTGAAGTGTGCAATCCAGAGGAGAATAAAACTCCAAATAGTCCGGACCAATTCCGCCAAGCTTTTTTAGGAAACATGGGACAATTTTCAACAAAACAGAATTGTTGTCCTTGTTGAAAGCAGCGGAGATAATTACAGTACAGGAGATAATTACAGTACGCGGTAAATACACATGCTAATAGACACGTAACCTTTAACGAGTACACCCTGATGCTAAACGTGTGTAAATTTGGTGACACTTGGTGGTGTCTTTTCAATTTAATGGGCATTTCTTTACCTCCGTGGAAATGACAGTGGAACATCGGATTTGAGGGGGTACATATAATAAACTAAATAAATGGTATTAAATATGGATATCTTCACCGCTAGTTTGTATTTTCTGTAACACTAATCATGTTAATTATGGTGTCTGGAATGAAAATCAACATTCAAAGCAATTAACTCCTGTGATGGGGGTGGGACAACCTTTTTGGAACAAACAATGTGTACAACATTTTAGAAACGTTCAACAAACATCTTTTATGCCAGAAGACGAAACGTCTTCTTGACCAAGACCATTTTCTGAGAAGTGGACAGAGCCAAATTTAACAACAGCTGAGATGCACTGCTGTAGCTGAGATTTTGGCTCAGCAGTAGCAATGTATTGAGTAGCAAGTGTAACAAAAAAATGGGTTTTCACAACCCTGACACACAAAGATACCGCGCTTTTCAACTGTTAAACCTTCTGCTATTTATTATATATCTGTATTTGCACGAATGTACTTTATTAATATGAGCAGAATAGTTTTGATAAAAGGCAAAGAAATATTTTTAAAATTTGGTGCAAAGAAGTTTTGTTTTGGTTGCCAAAATTTCTAGGTACGTTTGAAATACACGAACTGTTTAACTCGGCAAGGGCTTTGATAATGGAAAAATTGCACTACGAGATAACAATTACGTTTATCTGAATCTATGTTTATTTTGCAGCAATTGCTTTACCATACAAGCAAATGTATTGATTCTTTACCAGATAAAGCGCTATTGTTTCTTCACGAAGAAACTGGTTTTAGTACACGCAGTTTTTCTCCCATTACTTCTTTGTTCTGTAGCTTTTCCTGTGATAAACTTGCACTCAAAGTGCATGTCAGTCACAATTTAGAGGCAAAAAAGCCTCAGTTCATTTGGTGTGAATAGAGTTTTTGAATTCAAATGGTATTTTAAGATTTGAAATCATCCGTGAAAAAAAGCACTCCTTTAGATTGAACCATAAACCTTTAAATGACCATCATCAGTAGGGGTTATTGAGGTGGTTTTCAGTCCATGGAAAGTTCAGAACACTTAATACAAGAAAGACCAAGCATGCATAAGGGAACCACTCTCCCAGGACTGTAAATTCATGTTTTAACATCTCTCCCACGACTGAACATTCCTCTTCAAATATGTCCAGTCCCCAAGGACTGAAAATTCATTTTTATATTACCAATATCGGTGGGATGAAAATTCATCTTTTAATATTTGCAATATCAGTGGGCTGAAAATTCATCCAGTTATATTACTATTTACCCAGACCTGAAAATTCACCTTTTTTAATATCACCAATATCCCAGTGCTGAAAAAAATAATCCTTTTACATTACCAGTCCCCTAGGACTGAA